GCGCTCTCACCCCCCCGCGCCTCGCCGCTGCAGGACCAGCGAGAGGAGCAGTTCCCTGGGTGACCTGAAGGTTTCCGCTAGGTCTCCCCAAATCTGTCACATCATGCGTGGAGGCCGTGTGTGTGTGTGTGTGTGTGTGTGTGTGTGTGTGTGTACCCGCGCGCCCCACCCCCGGCCGGTGCCCCACCTCACCCTTCCCAAAAGAGCTTTGTCAAACATTCTTGGAATTGCTTAGCTTGGGGCAATCAAGAAAACAATACATCGCCTCTGATATTCTGTTAAGTGCTGATGAAGGTTCTATGTCTAAAGGATCTTCTTTTTCTCACATTCTTGTTTTGCTCTTTCTTGCTCCTTTTCCTCCCTTCAATCCAAGTTTACTTGCTTCCTCATTTTCCTTTATTTTCTCTCCCTCCTTCCTTCGTGTTCTTATTTTCTTTGCCCCTCTTTCCTCTTTCCTTCTCTTCTGCCTCTCCCCCTTCCTCCCCCACCCCCCATTTTGCTTTTCCGGTCTTCTTTCTTTCTTCCCTTTCTTTTTCTTTCAGATCAATATTATGTCAAGAGCTACATTCCCTACTGAAACTCACCACTCCCACCTCCTGACTCTAGGGAATCTAGAAATGAGCGTACCTGAGGGCTTGGGGATGGAGAGTGAGAGCATCAGGGAAAAAATAAGCTAATGTGTGTCTGCTCTAACTGCTAACATTAGCTGTAAAGTGTCTGGACCCTTGTCAGTTTTTGTTTTTGTTAACCCTCACCTGAAGACATCTTTCCACTGATTTTTAAAGCGAGTGGAGAGTGGAAGGAGGGAGGAGAAACAGAGAAACATCTCCACTCAGCCAAAGCGGCTAGGGCTGGGCCCTTGTCATTTTAATGCAGCCAAATAGCACACAGTTTAAGACCAGTGGTTCCTTCTCAAAGGGGCACAGGGCCTTTCCTTTATAAAAAAAAAAACCTGCCTTGTTTTTAGTTCAATTATTCAGTGCCAAATGTGTAAGTAGCTTTAACATTGATCCTTTTCCCCCTTTGAATCACATATAATTGCAAACACATATGTGGTAGGCAGTCAGACGCATGTGAGCAGAGAGAGCAAGGACAATGGGCCAGGTAGAGAACATAACCAGGACAGAAAGCCAGATGCATACCGAACAGCAAAACTGAGGAAACAAGGACCCATTGGGTTAGACATCCTCGGGGGTGGGGGTGGAGAGGGGATTGAACGAACAAGGAGGCCTGAGAATAGCCCTTAAGCATTAAGCCCCAGGCCAGGAAGGTCTGACCTGCATCAAATCCCTCTGGGTCTCAGTGGTGTTTCAGGTCCAGAAAAGCAGCAGAACCACACAAGCTGACCTGAGGACCAGCTGCATTGACTAATGAGCCCCTGCCCTAGTGCCAAGCAATCAGTGGAGACCATAACCTTAAAGGGCACACCTGGGAAGCTGGTGAATATTCTATTGAGATTCTCACCTGGGACCTCCCTTAAAATCCCCACCCTTAATAATCCTAAGGACAGAGGACCAGGAACTGAGTGCTCTCCCTCTCTCTCCACTCCCCCCTAGGTGAGTTACCCTTACCCTTGGCTCTCCTAAGCTCAAGGGCCCTTCTTTTCCCTCTGTGACACGTTTCTTGAGACCATTTCCTCTACCACTCACTTCTACCTCTGTGACTTTCTAAAAAAACTTTCTCTTATAGCTTGAGTCTTGGCTCTGAATTCTTTCCTAGTCAGAACTCAGGTTGCTGAACCAAGGTCTGGTCTGACTCCACCAACTTAACCCCTGGTGCTATTCTCACCACAGCCAACACATAGACACACACACCACCATCCAGAGAGAGCGGGGGTCGACCAGATGGCCCGGCCCTGACTCTTTTTTTTTTTTTCCTCTGGCAGTGGATCAGAGTGATTGGGTTGACCAGCTGTCTGTGAAGATGAGAGATTGAAGGTGGAGGCAGGGGCAGGGCTGAAGAGCAAATAAATGTTACATACACACATACACCCCTTGGGAAATTCATACTGATATATAGGTGGGTTTTTCTAAACTTGGCAATATCTCTTTTTAACATCAAAATGACTCATTGCTTGAGAGACCCTTTGCACTGATAAATTTTACACCCTTTTCATGGTAGAGAAAGCTGAAAAGAAAACAAAAGTCATACTTAGTAATGATAAAATAAATGGAATATAATAAGTGGAGCGGCACTGAAAGAAGTCATAACAATCATTAAATTAGATTAATATAGAGAAATCTAATGTATAGATTTCAAAAGTACTCTCTGTGTTTTACTCTTTATTGATGTGTTTTGCAGACACTACTTAATCCTCACAGCAATCCTAAACTATGGGTGTAATTACCCCACAAATGATTATAAGGAGCGTGGCTAAGTTAAAACCACTGGGAAGTGTCTCAACTGGAATGTGAACCCCGTTCATTTTGACTCAAATGTTATCCTTATTTTACAGAATGTTTGAAGCATAGAAAGGTGATTTGCTAAAATACATTTTATGAAAAAGCTACATCTTCTAACACTCTAGTGCTTAATTTTTATTACCCTTCAGCTAAATTACCAAAATGTCATTTGAACCTTACATAATCAACAAAGAATTATAATGAGTTACAAAAGTCTCTTCTTTCTCTCCCCCCCCCCCAATCCATGTAGTCTTCAGTTCCTTCATAAGGAGTACTGTGCATACATTACTTCTAATTAACATACTAACGAATGTTGGGGGGGAGGGAAATGCCTTGGGAATAATCCCTAAAAATGCATATCAACAGAGAAATTTCATAAACTCATATGCCTGGTCTTAACATTTCAATTTAAACTTTTAAAGCTAGTTTCTGTCTTCTAATTTGCACAAAAATTTAAAACAAGGAAAGTTTATTTGGAAGGTACTCATATATCCTTGCAGTTCAGGAATACCTTAGTACCAGTAGAAAGTAAAATGGTTTAATCTGTTTATAGCACCTCTAAGCTGAAAGTTGAAAACAAAGAGAATTCATTTAATTTTTTTAATTAAAAGATTTGTTAATTAAAACTTTTTAGACTATTCAGTTATGAGTTCTGTGGACCCCAAAGAAGGAAAATTTCTTTGACATAAACCCTGAGAAGGAATTTGTTTACTGAGGTGGACTCCCCATGGTCGGCTTATTATTGGTGGGGAATGCTCCTCATCCCCAACAGTTGCTGGTGGGAGTGGGTTTCTTGCGATAACCTGAGAAAAGGAACTTTCTGAGATTTGACAGGAGGATGAGATGTAGAAAGCTTTATTTCTGTGGAATTACACCCCTGAGTTTCCAAGGTCCTATTTCCCTCCGTCCTGTCTACAGGATTATGTATTACCAAATTTTTATGAACTTGCATTGGCCCTGCCCTCTCTGGCCAATGATCTCTGTTCCCAGGTTTGACTGACAGGCATCTTCCCTATGTCATCCCCACTTTACTGTGCATACATCAATCTCCCTTTTGTTGGACCCCTCCCCGCAGTGATCTGTGGGGAATGGGCTGGTGGCTCAATAGGGAGTGTGAAATTGAGCTTCCTTGTGAAGCTGCCCAAATGGCCATGTTTATAATGGCTGGCCTCCCTTTTGCTCCTTTCCTATCTCTCTCTATATAAAAGCCTAAACAACTGATACAACCGAATGACCAGTTGACTGGTTGCTATGATGCATACTGACCACTAGGGGGCAGAAGATCAACGCAGGAGCTGCCCCCTGGTGGTCAGTGTTTTATGAATAATAAGAGTCTACAGGCTATTTGCTGACAGGGGTGCCTCAGGACTCTGTATACCAGGAAGAACCTCAGACTGAATTTCCCGCACTGCTTGTTTACACCATCTGAGTCAGCCACTGCAGGGAAGTCCTGGCTTATCTTTCAACCAATGGACTTATACTTGTTCTGTCCAATCAGAACTACACAAATAGTATCCTCATTTGTATCCGTAGACGACCAATCAAAACTGCATGATTTAGATCCATCAGAATGGTACAATTGGGAACCTCATTTACATGAAAGGAGTTACAATGGGAACTATAGGCAGGAAAATTCTCTCTACAAGGTGACTTTGCCTTTGTCTTAGTGGCGCACAATTTAGGTTGCTACCTGCATCTGTGAGTACCAGGCTGCAGTTCTTTTCGCTGAAATAAATACTTTTATTTCTTATTACAACCTAAAATTAATTTTCATTTAGTTTTAACTTGTTGCAAGAGAGCAAAAGCAAACAAACAAACAAAAAAACCCCACAGGAAGTCAATTCAAAGATTCACTCTTGGTAGAGGTACTTTATAGAAGAAAAAGATGGATATAGAGTATATAGCAAAAGAAAAAAAATGCATAAAGTTATTTTTAGACTCTGACTTTCAGTTGAAGTCTTAATGTCACTAACGTTTACCTAAGTTTCAGGATTTTAGAAAAAAAGGCTAACTCTCTTTCCAGAAGGAGGATATAGAAGTTTGAAACGATTTTCTTTTAAGGGATCCAGTAAAGAATTCCCAGTAAGGAAACTCAGAAAACAGAGGTTTACAGAGTTGTCCCAGGTCATGCCGTTTTTTGAGTTACAGGAATGGAGGAAAAAATAGTCCTGTTGGCTGTCATGTATAAGTTATTAAGCATGGAATGCATTGGTCTGGCAAGATGTGGAGTAGATTC